GGCAATCTATAACACAGCCAAATGCGAAAGCACGTCTTCATTAATTTTTACCAGCTTCTTGATTGCTTCAGCTTCAGCACCCAGTTCATTCTTCCTATTTTCTTGCACACTTGCCTGTTCCACTTTTACACAACGACTGTTTCGTAACTTTCATATTCCTTACTATTGAATTGTTTACTGTATCTATGCTATGAAGCACTTCAGATGGCTTCTACGGCATAGGTCAAATCGCCAAAGTAAAGAAGTATCTTATGAGACGCCCAAAACCATTTGCATTCCAAAAAGTGAGAACAGTTAGGCTACAATTTACAGACAATTGCATGTAGCAAAGTAGGCTCGTGAATCGAGAGATGAACACTCTTAAAAATGAGGGCTTAGAGTCGAATCAACAAATCCTGCAAGTTTGTTTTAGGGGCAAACTGTTAAGCGCTACGACTTTTCCTGCAATTTGCATTTCTATTGACATATAATACAGCGGACAGTTATAATAAAAATTATGTTTTAACAAATGCTGCACACGGTTATGCTTCTAGGTATGCATGCAAATGAGACGACGAAAACATCGAATCGCATAACAGAAATGTAGCTGGACTTCAATGAATGCAATGTGGCATGCAGGTTCTTCCTGAATGCAATACAGTTCGCTAACGACGCTATTACAACCCACATTTTTAACACAGTTGTACTGGTGACATGTAAATTGCAAACGTCAATGAAAGGTTTACAAAAATATGCCAATATTTAACTCACAGGACATGGTGAACCATCAAGGACATTGCTCTAATCACGTCAAACAATCAGTACCAAGTACTTTTTGTTAAGAAACAAACTACCTTCAGTGCAATTGTCGGCATCCTCACTTTTTGTTCGAGAAAAAAAGTTTAAATTACTGCTGAAGGGCAATTTCAGAAGGCGGCTGACTGTCGTGATACTAACCGGAGGAAGAAGAACGATGAAGCATTCCACATCTCGTCAGAAACATTAAAATTACGTACATGATAGAGGATTCAGTCGGACACATAGTGAAATGAGTCACTACGGCTACAAGGCAACTCAAATGTTACTTCAAGTGTTGTAGCACTAACTAGCAAAAATAAAAAAATTAAGTCAGTCTCACTTTCTTTCATGACCGTTCGCTCAAAGATGCATGTAATAAGCAAAAATTATTATCATTTATTGGATAGCAACTCTGTAATACGCATAAAGTGGTGTTTTCATGCTACTATGACGCTAAAAGAAATCTAGTCTGCCACTATGAATGCTGTGACACATGGTTAGGACGAATGATTTGTCAATGCTTTGCCGAATCTCTGAAATTCCTGAAGATGGAAGACAAATCTGTGGTACAGTTCTGTACACGCGAAGATAGAGATGACGGCGTTTCTGGTTCCAAGATTCACTGAAACTACCCATTTTTGCTGATGCAACTGGTCAGTAGAACTGCAAGACGAAGGACGGTGTAGACATTCTTTAGGAGTCTAGCGATAGCGACATGTGCAGAGGCAACAAGCAGCCAAAAACAAACAATCGCACCACCTCTTGGTACAGTCAAGAGCTTCAGCAGCTTGCACAGATAGTATGAATCTTGCATGCTTTCATGAGCACTGATGTTTTTTGGTCCAGTCTAGCCGATCGTTCAAGTACATGCCCAGAGACTTAATAGTGCGAACACGAGAAGCAGGCCCATTTGCCATCGTCATTGGTTGTTCAGTTACTGATAGTCATCTTTCAGCTTCGTCATGACGCAGGTCAACTGGGCACTTTTCTTCTAGTTCTAGTTATTATTCTTGTGTCTCAATCTTGAACCCATTTGGCAGTTTTATTCAATGCATCCTGCAGCATTGCTGAATCTATCGTTCTTCGGATGGCAGTGATTACTGTCGTCGGCATATCTGCCAGGTGATGAGGCAATTGACTTAAAGCCAGCTTACGCAGAACTTAAATAACAATGGAGGTAATACTAATCCGTGTAGGACACCACAGTTTTGTAACAGAGGAACAGCGATTTCTAGCAACAATAAACTGTTTACTGTTCGAAGATAGTCCGCCAACCACTAGAAATGGACTGAAATTACTGCCTCCTGTAGGTGACCGAACAAGCCACCTCGTGGCAGACGTTGAATGTCGATTGTAGGTCAGCCACGAGGGTTACAGATGTCGAGTTACTTGTCTAAAGTTGTGGCACGGATTTCGGTGCAATAGGCGCTGGGATCGAGCGTAGAATGGCCTTTCGTAAAACCGAATTGTAAATTGTCATATTCGCCTGCTAACTGTACATTAATAAGGTTTTACTAGGAATTCAAGTGTCACCGCAACTGGTCGGTAAGCCTCAAACTTAGTTGGTATCAGTTTCTTTGGTACAGAGGCGATTCTCCTCATACGCCAACGGCCTGGGACAGTTTCAACGTTGATGCAGCAGTTGTGCAAGTTCTGAAGAATGCCCGATAGCTCATTTTTACATCACAAGATCTCTTGCTGTTATTACATTAGAGTCGAAGGCGCAATTGAGCTGTAACGACGTCAAACAGCATTTTACCCCAGCTTCGCTAAAACCAGGAGCTTGCACTGGGAAGGACTTTCGTGAAGATCACGATATGACGATCTGGCCCTTGCAAAATTAAGCAAGCATATTCATGTTAAGAGCATTCATATCTTCTGGCAGATTAGCGTTGAAGATTTGCATCAGCAAGAATTGCAGTTAGTTATTTAAGCGCGAGTTTCGACTGCTCGTACTAATGAAGGTTTATCAAACGTTATCTGATTGCTACGATAGTTCGTGTTGGAAACTCAACAATGTCAGTTAGTCCAAGTGAAAGGAACAGAGGCACCCTTTGACAACTGAGTTTGCCTACAACCACACAGATGGCGTCATCCAGCTGTTCAGGACGTTGGGAATAAAAGTGATGGAAGATGTGAACATCGGTGACGGTAAAAGAGGAAGCGATACAAATGTTCGTTAGGATCACACCGGAGGATGCCGTCATGAATGGGACATACACTGGAAAACGAGACTTTACGTCCATGGATGAATGTCCCAGCAGCACTTCAACTCGTAATGGTGGGAAACTGCTACTGTTCTTCCAAGTCGCTACTCCACCACCACGAGATTTACCATTGGTCGTTTGAAAATCACTGAAAATAACAAATGCATCATTGACAGCCTCATAAAGCCACAACTCCTGGATCAAAAAGATGCATGGTGCTAGCTCACGTAACTATCCTCGATTATTTGCAAAGTTCATTCTCCTTGGTGACACATGACCGGATATCTGTACACAATACAGACTGGGCTAGCATACCTTTTGACGAGGTTATTCAGGCAGCTTTTCTTCAGCTGGTTGCCTTTCCTCTGTAACGTCGATGCTGATTAAGTAAAGCATACCTCGCGAGTTGCTGTTTCGTAACTGCATCAAGATGTTTCGATGTTACTCGAGAATTGTATAACGTTCATGGCAGGTCATTTGTTAAGCCGCCAACTTACACATATAGTTGAAAACACTATACATTTAGCAGCCGCCGTTAAGCGCTAACTGCAGAGCTATGTCAAACGGAGCGAACGAAAAACCGGTCGTACATGCCAGTCAAGTTAAACAAGTGAATATTACTGTCGTAGCCTGCTAAATCACAAAATAAATGGGTATACCTCACAATAACTAGTCTGACTATATAACCTGTGTTCACAATGGTTCGTAGAGCATCTCACCATCATGAGACTAATCAAATTGCCTCCCATCACTAACAGAAGCAGTGCGACTCTTCGTTTTTGGATTTATCACCACTAATCACTTATTTAAGTCCTGTGATATTCTCCGGCCTAATGAAGCATGACCAGTTACTAAGTCGAGCCGCAATGTTAATAGCTGGGATTTGCAGAAACCAATTGTACTCGGTCTTAGCGTACTTTGTCCCTGCATCCTGCCATCTGCAGGCCTCTCAAAACCTTCCTAGAAAATTCTACCGGCGACCCATCTACCTTTCCTGGCAGTGACTGACACAGCCAGAACAGCCGCTTGTGCATAATAATTCAATCTGTAATTAAACTCTCGCGTATACATTCTCATGACCTTAAGATGTTCTGTAAGGCTGCGCTTTCCTGATAGAAACAGCTGTTGCACAACCTAATAAACCTGACCATCCAGTCATAAATACCAAAAAGGGCAACTTGTATTAAACAAATTTAGTCTAACCATAATTTGCCTAATTCGCATACGAATCAGAAAAGTGCATATCTAGAGAGTGGCACGTTTCGGTACATTGTACTTTACTTTCAAAAACAAAAGCTGTAAACGTTTAAGTTTATTGTTTTCGACAGAACATCCACATTTAGCACTTCAATATTTTTAAAGAACTTTCTCCCTCGCAAGAATGTCTTTTTTGAGCGTTCCCTAAATTAGAGTATTAGTCTCATATTTGCAACAGCATTAATACTTGGATATAAAAACTGAGCTCACCATAAATGCACGCTTCTCCGCTGTTGTCTGGAACCTGCCATGGCCGAATTTACTGCTGGTGTCAATGAACTTAAGATCGATCTTTTCAGAGGCAACGCGCTTAGTATGAGTTAGTAATGACTAAAAATCAATTTATAACCTAATAAAACAATCAGTGAAAAATCGTTCACCTTCCGCAGAGTAATCACTCGCTTCTTTGCTCCCATACAACATCCTTTGATCATCAGGTAGTCCTGGTTAACAATGCCGTAATGAGGGAATCCACCCTAAATTCACACGAATTTTTAAATCGATATTCAAAAGAATAATAAAGTTATGACTAATGAAATCAGAAGGAAGGCAGCAAATATCATCAAACACTACAGACATGCTTTGTAATTCTCGTCATTTAAAGGATCAAACACCACCAATGTCGTCGAATAAGTCATTAGAATATACTATTTACCATTGGTGTGATGGCTTTCTCCGTCAAATCGTAATCGGTACTGGCATTCTTTTTATCGAGCATTGCACTTTTGCCAATGCGATATATTTTCTTGTTTATTTCAGTACGATGGTGATAACCTTTCTGTCCAGCACGAGCCACCGTGAATCGAACCCTACTTGGATGCCAGGCACCGATGCACGCTACCTTCCTCAGACCTTTATGGGTCTTACGAGGCAGTTTTTTGGTGTGCCATCGACTGGTAACACCCTTGAAACCTTTTCCCTTTGTAATGCCAATTACATCGATCATTTCGTCTGGTGAAAAAACTTGATCTACAGCCACCTGTAAAAAAACATAATTCACAAAAATTTGTAAAATAAATTGAAAAATAGCAACCAGATAGCAAACATGTAGGATATTAACTATCAAACATCAGTCCTCGGTCGTACTGACCTACTGTTGTTAGCGAATGTATCCAATTTCAATATCACACACCTGTCAACTGAACACTTCCACATCCAGTTAATTAAGCGTGTTAAAAATAAAACAAAAGTCGAACATTTCAAAATAAAGTATCTCAATTACCTTTTTCTCAAAATGATCGGAAGCCCAGTCTACTTTGTCCGATATTGATCCTCCATTCAGCTGAATTTCCATTATGTGGGCCTTCTTCTGACGGTGACGCATCAGTTTCATCTGCATACAAATGTCAGAAGACCTCTAGTTCGGTATTTAATCCATACCTGGGTGTGAGCCAATACACGAACCACTGTGCAGTATTTCTTGATAAGGGCTAAATCCTTTGAAATCTCTTTCTTCCCTTCCTCGTCCTGCCATTTCTTCGAGGCCTTTGTAAATGCCTTCCTTTTCGCTCGGTACCTTTATAATAAAAACTGGAAATAAGATCCCTCATACCCAAAGGGGCATTGGAGGGGAATGGCTTTTACTGCCTTAATTGCAAATGGCCCTTGAGGCAAATGGTCTGAAAGAACAGTATAAATTTGTTCATACCAGTTTTTGTAGAATCGGCGTTTGCAGTCTTCGCTTATGTGTTCAGCCCACAATGTCTTCAGTGGCCTCAATCCTCTTGGAGTTTCGACATAGCCGACTATGCCTTAAAAATAAAATTTCTCATACTACTTTCGCAAAATTATCATGAAAATACTAAAAACATTCAACCTAATTCAGTAGCAAATAGTTTCATTGTAAACCATCTAGAATTTACTTTGGACATCCAGCAAAACCTAGAACAAAGACTTTTGCGGCTGTAATGTGAGTAAACTGTTTAAAACTACTCGAAAACAGTATGTATATGATCCAGCATCTGATAACGTACGAAGGAAACAGTTTTCAAAAATATTAAGAAACATTTCAACATTCAGTACATTTTAGCACTTCATGTGATGTGGATAATTAGCATAAACAGAAATTACAAACGAAATCAAACATTTATTTATGAATAGTGTTTAAATGTTTAGCCTTACAAACTGGTAGCGAATTGGTGGCGAAAAATCTGACAAAGACAGGCTACCGAACTCAAAGAAGACGAGTCGTTTGAATCAGCCATGACCCAAAAGCAGCAGTAGTTACTTAGTGTACCAAAGGTAAAAATTCTCAATGATTTCCTTCAACCATAGTTGTGTCACAACATAACAAAACAAAGCTGCCAGTAAATTACGTGTTCCACAAATATACCTTAAAATGAGTCAATACGCCGAGAAGGAGCAATTAGAAATGTATGCTTACCAACAATCACCAGTGGCGGTGCTTCCAAAACAGTGACGGCATCGACGACTTCTTTCTTGTTCAACTCTGAAATAAGTTTATTGTCACTTGTGTAAATTTGGCGCATAGTCTGCGCAAGTCTACATAATGTAACACCTTATATCAAAAATAAATCCTGTTATTATGAGTCTGCCAAAGAACAGAGCTTTCAAAGGAGTTCGAACAAGTTTTTTTTTGACCCAGCAAAGTGTTGCCTTCAGCCCATGCATTGTAGGTGCTAAAACACAATGGAGCCTTACCTGTTTCAACAGTCCTACAGACTATCAGAAGCAAGGGAACGGTGCCTCGCCGTGTAAATTCGAAGTACTGACAAGAAGAACGTATCATCCTAGTTCGCAATATTTAAACGCAGAAAAGTTGCTTGCCAACATGCTTAATTTAAAAAAAATTTTGGAAAAACGGTGACAGAAAGGATATCTTTAATTAAGTATAGACCCAATCGATACAAGCGCTGAACATTATAATATGCAACTAAAGAGACCGAAACACTTGTGAAATCAATACGTATTGTGAAAAAGTATCTTCTGCGCGGGGTGGTAACGAGGTCGGCCACGAACGCCAGAAGTTCTGGTGATTCCGTAACAGGATGACCTACTTCTCGGCTTGACTAGCAACCAAAGGTTCTAAGAAAGCAACACTGCATTCCGGTGTGGTCGCATCAGAATGGGCGAGAAGCACAACCATGCTGATGGAGAAGCGCACTTCATAGAGCTGCAATTCTCCTTGACTCACCTCATCGATGAATGTTCAGTTAAATAATTAGCAGATGCAATCCCATTTGTTTCTTAACATAAATGGAGATTCCAGAGAGATTTAAACACTATCACACGCCGCTTGAAAAGACAAATTAGAATATTTAGGTGAAGAAATGGTTAAAAGCTTATAAATGTTCCCTATTACAAAGATAGGCAGTAATTATTACGGATACTCTTCAAACCGCCAAAGTCTACGCAACATGTTAAAACGCTTGCACGCTGTGGTTCAAGATCGTATCAAAGAAAGACTTACTGGATCCTGGTCTATCGACTTCTCTCACAACGTGGGTCATGCCAGCTTTATAAGCGAGGAACGCAGTAAGATGAACGGGTTTTGCCGGATCATCTTTCGGAAACGCTTTCACCTTACCGCGATGTCTTTTTGACCGTTTCTTGGGCAAATATCCCGTGGAACCATGTCGAGGTGCGGAGAACTTCCGGTGAGACTATAAATCCAACTTATTACGCGCTATTTAAATATTTCGCAAGAAAACCAACCATAGAGTCCGCTACAGCACAAACTACTTAGAAGTAACAACATACGCTACGTGTCGTCCTAAGCGACCTGCATTCTAACACGTCCTATACAACTTGCAAATCGCTGGTGACTGGATACTGTTTTAAAATATGCATTACATCGAATACCTCCTCATAAACAACTGAAAAATTATATCGAAGGCGCCACAATAAATATAGTAGTAATCGTGCCTTGGAAGACAAACAAAAATAAACCGAATCAAGATACATTATTATTATTATAATTTAACATTTGCCAACTGTTGAACGATCTAGTTTATCTTCCGACGACAATTGCTGCATGAAAACATTTGTGCGCATCAAAAACGCAGTTTTTAAAAAGATATCTAATTAATTGTATTTTGCTGGTAGAGAATCGAAATTTAGTAAGCACTATCTGACGAGTCTTCCTCAGCAGTCCGAAAGGTAAGTGGTCATTGAAACTGAATCACTAATCGAAATTTTTTAGGGAACGCTTCATCATCATCATCATAACCATCTTCCAACCCCGCTTCTCCTTTCGGGTCGAAAAGGTAGACAGGGCTTCCAACGTTCCCGATCGTATGCCAGAGTCTGAGCTCCGGCAAAAGATAAATGGAGTCTCGAACACTCCTTCCATATGTTTGCACCAGGTTAATCTTGGCAGTCCCCTGGGTTTCTGCCGGTCGGATTTGCAAGGCACAGTTGCATAGCTTTTCTTTCTGGAGGCATTCGCAACACATGCCCAAGCCATCGCAACTGCGACTTCTTAATCTGGAAAAGCAAAGGCTGTATTCCAAGGCTATTTCCGATGTGACTATTCTGGATCATGTCGAGACGCTTAAGGCCAGCGACTCGTCTAAGAAAGCCCATTTCAGCAGCTTGTACCAAAATTCGACGCTGTGATAGTCCACGATTTATGACCGTAAGAAAGTATGGGGATAAGGATCGACTTGAATATTGAGAGCTTGGTTTTCAGACTGAGCTCTGCTTTAATCACAATGGGTCGGGCTAGTTAACGCAGAACACCACCGGATACTCCAATTCGCCGGTCGATCTCTTCTTCGAATTTTCCTCACTAGTAAATACAGTTCCCAGGTACTTGAACTTTTCACCTGCTCCACCGCCTCTCCGTTAATCTGAAGAGAGAAACGGGTAGGAGAACGAGAAAGCACTAGGCTTTTCGTTTTAGATGCTTTCACACCCATGCTGGTCACGTTGCACTCGCCTGCGAGCTTTTCTAAGGAGCACTGAAGATCAGTTTCAGAAGATGCTAATAAAACAAGGCCATCTGCAAACAGCCACCTTCTCGACTTAACAGCTTCAATACCGATACCCTCATCGCCTTGGCAGCTCTTGACTGTTCCATCCATGTGCAACACAAACAGGATAAAGGACAGGGCGCAGCCTTGGCGGAGACCACTGCGAACGTTGAATGGTTTCGACCTAACGCCATTTACTCTGACATAGCACCTACTATCAGGATACAGTGATTGGATGGCCATTAGCAACTTGCCATCAATCCTGTATGCACGAAGGCATGTCCACAGACTCTTGCGTGGGTTCCGGTCATAAGCTTTCTCTAGGTCTACAAAACACATGTAAACCGGCTGGGCGCGCTTCCACCATTTCTCAACAATCTGGAGCAGAACAAATATATGGTCACTGGTGCTTCAACCTTACCGGAAGCCACACTGCTCTTCTTGGATCTTGACGTCAACTATTTCACGGCACCTCCTTTCTAACACCTTTGCGTAGACTTAACCTGGGAGGCTCAATAACGTTATACCCTTATAATTGGAGCATTCCTTGTGGTCTCCTTTTTTGAATACGGGTACAATGGCTCCCGTTCTCCAGTCCGCTGGTGCCTTTCCTACAGTCATCGCAGCTTGACAGACACGTGTTAGCCAGCACATCCTTTGTTCGCCTAATGCCTTGAGCATCTCAGGGCGGATTTCGTCAATTCCGGCAGCTTTTCCGTTTTTCAAGGTTTTCACACCTGTGTAATTTCATCTACAGAGATAGTAATATCCGTACCCTTCTGCTCTACAGGCGAGTCTTCCTGCTG